TATTTTTAAAATATATACACATTTAGTTTACATCACAGTACGGTCGCATATTTTGCGCAGTCGTAAAGGGAGAAGCAGTGTTTTTTCTGAGTGGTTTTTTCACTGCTAGTGTAAGCAGACGCTTACACTTTTATTAAAAATGTTTTTAATAAAAGTTTTTTTAATGAACATTACCCAATCCGCTAGCTCGTATTAGAATTTCAGACCCTTAGAATCGCACTTTGAACGAATTAAGCCTCTTATTTAACGCATTAGAACTTTTAAATTTTTGTGAATAACGAGTTTGGAATCCGTTTTCAAGTTTTTCGCATAGAAGCGCGTTCGAACGCATTGGTCTTAATTTCCCGATATTTCAAATTCCATATACGTTTGAACAACAACGCGTTCAGGCAAACGTCATGATATGAAATTTATTCTATCGGAAGTTCTGATTAAATCTGCAATCAGCACATAGTGCGGCACCGTATCATGAAAAAAGATGAATTCTTCACAAAATTTCGCCCCCGGGTCCCTCAGCTTCGTATTAATCGAGAATATCATTTCCATGATTTGCACGAGCACTGTGAAAAAAGAAAATAAGCTCTTGTCAAGTCAATTCGTTGGAAAAGACGCGACAAGGACATAAGTTTTTCGAGAATACATTCAACGACGAACGACCACAATCGCGGAGAAAATGAATACTAGCTTTTTGTTAGAACTAAGAAAAATCCAAAAATCTCTGATGGGGCAGGAGTTTTACACTGTTACCGCGCTCAATGACTCATGCAATCAAACTGATACTTCTGAATTTCTGAAACGAAGATAGATTTCAGTTTGATTTTCCCTGAACTGTTAGAAATTTCAGTTTAATGAAAATATTTTACTTACCAACATAACAAATAAATTCATATACACATCATTGACAAATCTCATTAAACTATCAGACCATGGTGCTAGACCATTTTGGTTGAAACCAGTCATTGTTATAATAAATGAAGCATAAAACGGATGAACTGGTTTACCATCTTGTACAAGTTGTTGTGATTTATAATTTTTTTTAATCCAAAATCCAATCGATAGAAAAGCACCAGTATAAATTGTAAGACATGTTACTAATATAAGTATAATGCATGATATATATGCACGATATCTTAGTTCATCAGCTTTTGGTAGTGACTGTAGTTTAGATCTCACACTAAGGGGTAAGAATTGTTCTTGAACTGAAAATTCATCTTTTTGTTGCGCCTGTTTTTGATCGTAATCATTATCTACGGTTGATCCGCCTGCTTTTTTATGCAGTTTTGCTTTAATAATAAGTGCTGGCAGTGTACTTATCGTAATACCACTGACGAACGTTAAGAACATCAGTATTACTTGAGATAAATGAGATAAACGAGCAAAATCAAGAGTTGTTAAGCCACAGTTATAAACACAACTACTACTAACAAACCACGCATCAATATATCTTACAGACATTAGTTTATTTTTATGTATATAATTTTCAATACTATAAATAATTACACCACCTAATAAACCACTGAAAATAAATAATGTTATATGGATGTAAAAATAATGACGCATACGCCACTCATAGTTTTTTAGTTCACAGCATAGATCATTTTTACTTTTTGAGTCGTTCCTAGAATCTTTATAATAGTGTTCATTTATACCATTTTTTCTATTACTAATGGTGTCGAGTAAAGATAACGAATGTATTCCATTAGTGCTATTTCTAGCAGACATGATTATATACAAGTATGGATCGTAAAATTCAAAATACGTGATATATATAGTCAATTTATATTCAGAAATAATCTAAGAATATTTAGATTCTGTTGTTAATCATACTTCATATTATGCAATTGATGATTAAATCACTTTTTTGCAATAGAAAAGAGTAACATTGTAACTGATGATTACAAAAGTTTTTTTAACCAAAGAATTCATTTATAAGGAGAACAGTATATATATATATATGCTTTATTTTGGGGTAATGTTTGTATAAGAACACGAAATAGTTATCAATAATACAAATACATTCATCTGTATACTGTGAACGGTATTTTTATTCCATTTTATCATGGTGTAGTTTTTTTTCTTATTAACGTCAACGTTATTGAAAAAGAAGTTACGTATTTGAAGTAAGATATACATATATATATATATTTATATATGTGTGTGGGCATCTCTCACCATTCATATTTTGGGTACCATAATTCTTCAATGTAACTAAACTTTTTTCCTGTTTTTGAAAATTTAAAAATGATATCATACCTTAACATAACTGAAGTTCAAAAATCGATTCAGAGAATTTTGACAGTGATCACTTTGATGTTTGCATGAGACTTGCTCATCGGATTATGCCCACTGCTAGATAGATGAGGTCTGGAGGTGACCGGCTAAAGTTATAGCAAACAGTCATTCCATACGGTCAATTTTTCCTCCGATACATGGTGTAAATTCATAGAATTCAGTGATACATATGTGAAGTTACAAAACATTGAAACATAAAGATGTATTATGGCGGATTTTGCGCTTAGTTTCCTCTGTTATCACCAAGTTCTTCCCAACAAATCCTTCTTAAAAACTAGCGAAATCGATGGGTGTGATCAGTTACAGTTGGAAGAACAAGATGTCGAAAGATGAGCCACAAGCAAGCGTCGAAATTAGAACTTTTAAGTACACTGATCTGGGTCCTGCATATGATTATGTTTAATAGTAATATAGGATCGAACAGTAATGAAGAGAATGTGGTAATGAAAAACTGTGCAGATAATGCTAGAGTAGACAATAAGAATTAAAGATATAATGCAGTAGCAGGTAAAATTCATTTTGTTGTTGTGACTTCGGCTTTTTTTTTACCGTCTAGAGAGTAACAGCGAACAACTTTTAGGAGACATTATCTCTAAGGAGTAATAAAAATGCCAAACGGAAAGCCAAAAATAAAATATCAGTAAATGTACGTGGGTTAATGCTCGGTCGTACCACTTGCACATTAAAAATAACTTTTTTGTGGAATTCTTACAAAAACTATTATACAATCGACAAAAGAGTGAAACAGTGTTAGGGTCAACTTATATTCGTTATTACTATACCGCAATATTCGATATTAAACATACGTATTAGAATCAATGAACTGTATACCACGTATATGCTTTCTCTCTCTCTCTCTCTTTGATTGACCTGATGAACGAAAAAGTATGAACAGTAGTGAACGATCAATTTTGTTTCATTCTGCCTATACTTTGACAATAAATAAGCTATAGTACAAGAATTTTTTGCTTCTGTTATTCTTTTATTCAAAATTTACATTGTCTATTCAAATGGTTATTAGTACGAAAGAAATATAATTATGTTACTTGAATCGTAGACTAAAGCATAGAAAAAGAAAGAAATGGTTCAAGAAATGTTCCCGTCTACTGTGTGACAATTTCTTGTACTGTTTTTGCATTACAATCAAAAATCAGAGAAAAGAACGAAAGAATTTCATGAAATACTTGTACAAAGAGAGGGAGGGACTGTATACTACTAAGACCTTGCCCTATGATCTGATTACTGTTAACTTTGATTGATCGAAAAACTTTTTTTTCCAAATTTTGGTCCTAAAAGAGTTTGAAGAAGCATCTTTACATTTTTTTCGCCACTATAGATATCTGCATTTTCTGGTGTATTTGACACCTATAATGAACGGTTGCATCAATAATAGTTTCGTTTGTTCATTCATTGTTCGTTTAAAATAAACCAAATATGATTTGGTCTCGGTTATGTGGTCTACTAATATTAATTTCGACAGGTAAGCGTAAAAAAACTACAGAGATACTGAAAAGGGATGTCATACAGTGTCTTCTTATAGAAGGAAACAATTTTCAACGTCAAATGCAAACATCGAATAACTACATTGTTCCTTATTATCCATTCAATTTCGATCACAATAAAAACATATTTTCAATATCGGATAAAACATCACGAGTCTATCCAACTCCAAATGCATGCGTCTGTACCTGTGGCTCAATGGTGCTTAATCCCTCTATATCTTGCAGTGATGCACAAAGTTGTGTACACGTTTGCCTACGAATGTATTCATCAGCATGTACCTTAGTTAACACGTATGGATGTTGCGGCTCATCTTGTTCATATCTAAATACACAGTCTCCGCAGAATAATCATTGTCGATGTAACTGTGGTTCAGCAATCTATTCGAATCCAGTAGATTTATGCATATCGGCAACAACATGCGCTGCACAATGTATAACGAACTTTCCTGGAGTATGCACGCCGATGAATACACAAGGATGTTGTGGATTAAACTGTTCTTCTTATATTCCAACATGTTCCTGTAACTGTGGCCAACAATACTCAATTGAGTCATCGATTCCATGTACAAATACTCGTACATGTTTAGAACAATGTACATCGTCGTACAGTGCATGTACACAACCAAATGCAAAAGTTTGTTGTGGTATTGATTGTGTATATCCACATCCATCGTGTACATGTATGTGTGGTGGAAATACCTATACAACCATATCAATTGTATGTAGTTCATCCCAACAATGTGTTCAAGCATGTCTTCAAGCAATTGGACAATGTACGGTTACGAATACTCAAGCTTGTTGCGGAAGTGACTGTTCGTCGTATGTACCATCGTGTCGCTGCCAGTGTGGCAACCATCGGTATTATTCGACATTGAAATGTCGTAATAGCGATCAATGCGCAAATACTTGTATAAATCAATTCGGATTTGCTTGCACAAAATCAGAAACTTATGGTTGTTGCAATGGGACAGAGTGTGTACGTTTTAAACGTCTGTCTCATTCATCATCGTCGTTCTTAACATCCAATATTTTTCAGCAGTTGACTATGATAATAACAGTAAGGATATCGATATTTTTTATGTAGTCCGCTAAGTATAGTAAGGTCAAGCTAAACAATTTTGCTTTATGATCAAAATACGTTTATCCTTATATATGTATCAACCCTGCTTTCATTCACTACTCCCCTATTCATAATTGCGGAAATATAACTACGTTTTGAATAACTTTTGAGTCTGCAGTCGGTAGAACGATGCAGTACCTTAACGTCTGAATCCCAGCTAACAAGCTTTCAGACATATGAGCATAAATTAGTTCGTAAATAAGCTTTTGACATCTTGTTAACTAACCGGATTCAAATGTTTGAAGAGGACACTTTTTTCTTTTAATGTATAGATTTTTTCTGTAGATCAATTATTTATTTGTGGAACTACACCTGTGGTTATTAACTTAATAAAATATGATCACTTTTGTAAATTTTAGTGTATGAGCTAAACATGTGTACGAAAACTAGTTTTAACAGCAGCTTGATATTCGGAAGAAAAGTGTGCACCTCGACTGGGAATCGAACCCAGGACAGTGGTATTCACGACCATTG